GTTAAAAAGCCCGATAATTTTGCGTTTTGCGATCCATTTTTCGTGGGGACAGGTTGCAGTTGGTATTTCCAGCCGACAATGTTCTATAGCCCTGCGGCAGTCAATGTACGCGGGCTATAGTACTAGAGCTAAGGTGGCGGTAGCTAGTTACGTACTAGTAGAGATGTAACCTGCATGATACAGGTGGTTCCGGTTCCGCTTCACTACACTTCACCGCCTGTACCACTTGCGTCTTCAACCCGCTTCGCGAAGCAAGAAATCATTGCGCCCAATCAGAGAGCTGTAACGGGCCAATCAGCCAATCAGCGAACAGGCTTTTGCCTGACGTCATTTCCCAAGTTATTCAAGTTGCCTGATCGATAACGAGGCTTGCGAACCGCCAGGGTTGAGCTCGCGTACAGGCGGTAGATAGTGTAGTGAAGCGGAACATACCGCCTGTATCATACAGCTTAGTAGAGATGTTGACATTGTTCAATTTGTTGTGCCCAAACTTGGAATCTTGCACAAACTTGGAATTTCAACGCATCCGCAGTTTGGGCAACCAATCTTGAGGTTGGGCAAACAGGTAAACAGAGCTTGCACAAACCATAGCGCAAACATATGATTATTAGGATTTCAAATGTTATATCATAACTATAAGGTCGTATACCTTCTTTCCTTAATCAAATGTGTTTGGCACCTTTGTATAAGTATTAAATGATTATAATAAATAATTGGATAAATATTATATGAAATGAATCTCTTCCTAGTTTACACCACGCACACCACACACTCGCTATGAGCCACAGGCACTTGAAGCGTTTCAATAAAATATAAATTATAATGCTAAGTAAATACGAAATCTATTTACTACCAAATTCTTAATGTTTCTATATACTCTCTTTCACCTATTATTGCCGGCAGTTTCCTGTCAATTCCGTCCAAATGTCCCTACGTGCAACCATACCCTGCCGGCGCCATTGCTCTCGCGCAGGGCCGTAGGTAAATTTTGTAGAAGGCAAATGTTGTGAGTTAAGGATACTCTCCACGTTGTGCATGAAATTTTATCGATTTTTTGTTTTCAACTTTATTCGATGGCTAACCACTATGCGCCAACCTCTTGTACAGTGCTCATTTAATCATTATAACGGTAGCACTGTGAACTGTCGCGACCGGCGTTTTTGCTTCGCCCGTCCGTACATGCTGTAGTGAGGCCGTTCCAGCCTGCGGGGCGCGGCCGCGGCTGACGTCAACTGACGTCACAGACCACAATGATACAACCAGCATTTCAGCGATATTCACTGAGCCAGTTATCGCATCAATATTCAGGAGTAGATTAATGAGGGAATTCTCTATTATCTACTCCTGACAACATGCAAACCCTGCTTAACAGCTGTACTAACTATCCCCCCCCCCCAACGACCCCCCCCACCTGGATCCAATTAAGTATCCCACAGGAGCCTAAAATAGTTCTGCACACCTTCGGCAAACCGCACGGTAGCCATTAAGGTACGCAAGGTTGTTGACAGTGACGTCGAGGCCAGATGGGGCGTGTTCGCAGCCATTTGCAGCGAATGTCCGTCGGTTCCGTTTGGGTACTTCACGGGCCGCCGCCGACCCTCGTAATTTTCTCAAGATTTCTCAAGGTGCATTGGAACATTTTACGCAATTTAGTGGTAGTCAGTTATGTCATGGATCATGTCGCAGTAAGGTAATGAAAATTAGATTATATCACATATGTTCAACGACAATCTTTGGGCAGCACAGGCGGTCACATTCATTTGTGAAAATAGAAAACCCGTCATTTCTCCGTTTGAATTCTGACATGAGTAAGCCGACTGTATAAATGGATATTTCTCTCACGTCTGTGATTACAACTACGAATAAAATGTTTTAATTTAAAGCACCTCGTTTTATAATGGTAACGAATATTGTGGTAAAAAAGGCGCGTCAGGCGATTGGTATTAAGTGCGTACTTATTTAGTTATCGCCTGCTTTAATTCGCTAAAATTTCTATTTTAACATCCACAACTTGATTTTTAAGCAGTTTTTTTTTCGAGTTATTCTCGTAAATATGAAAATTAAAAGAAAAAATGCCTGGACGCGCTATTTTGGTCGCATATTGTGGCATTAACGATGTGGCAAGGAAATTTTTGTATCCTCAGCTCTTTCTGTAATTGAGGACAATAGTCCAAAATACCCATTTCTTTAACAATAAAAATTCAAAATTTGTCGTGGGAACCACTAATTAGCCGTGCTGGAAATTGTCATGAAGATTTTTTGGGCGTGAGCATAAGAGAAGTATCTCCTAATATCAAATAATAACACAAGTGATTTGGATTCCGATTCATTTGCCAGACTAAACGTCTTATCTTCCACTTAGAGCAATACTCCGTGCACCAACGTGGAGAGTGAATCCCTTAAAGAAACAAGGCAGCGAACGATGCCAATAGGGCGTGGGGGTATGGGCCGCGCTTAATTTTTTTTTTCTCTTGGAGAAAATTTGCGTAGGAGGCAGTTCCGCTTGCGCTCGGCTATTTGCCTAATGGTAAGCTACGAACCCTGCTCTCGCGGCTGCCACTGTTTTTGCACGCACTTACACTAATATAATATAGCAGTAGATAAGGCGGGATCGGCACAACAGTTTGCCTTGACGCTGCGCTGGATTTTCACGCTTTCAAACAGGCACGAAAGTACACATTCCAAGCAGCTGCCATCTTTGTTTCTATGTCAATAACAGTGTCACAGCTTATCATATACAAAACAGTACTGTCCATCTGTTCGTAACCGGCGCAGGCTGTGTCACGCGAAATCACACAAGAGCTGACACAAATTCTCCCGGGCAGCCGCCCGCCGGATGGCATGCGACCCGGCCGCCGATCACCGGCGTCGCGAAGCTTGCCCGCATAATGTAAATGGCTGTCAGAATCAGGGCTATATATAGACTAGAGCATACGTGCCCACCTCGATTACCCATCGAGTGAACTAAAGGCTAAGCCGAGAAGGTGGGAGCGAGGAGAGGATGGTACTCTGTTGGCGCGGGACGCCGGCATATTATTACCAACTTCCGTACGAGCCTCGTCATTGGAACGTCGCAAAAACGTTGCGGCGTTGCAGCGCAAGAATGAAGTCACAAAGAGCGCCGGTAGGTGTTTCCTGATTCTGACAGCCATTTACATTACGGGGCAAGGTTCGCGAACGCGAGAATTCCGTCAGTCTTTGTGTGATTTTGCGTGACACAGCTCGGTTACGAACAGAGACAGTATGTTTTTATAACAAGTGAACACTGTTATTGACATAGAAACAAAGATGGCAGCTGTTGGATGTGTATTCGTGCTGTGAAAGTGTGAAATCCAGCGAGCGTCGAGCGAATTTTGCGATCCCGCTTTCCTACCTGCTATATATATTAGTGTAAACGTGCAACAGTGGAGCCGCGAGAGCAATGGCGCCGGCAGCGTATATAGTTGCACGTAGGATTTGGACGGAAATGACAGGAAACTGTCGGCAATAATAGGTGAAAGAGAGTATAGAAACATTAAGAATTTGGTAGTAAATAGATTTCGTATTTAGTTAGCATTATATTTCATTGAAACGCTTCAAGTGCCTGTGCTATGCGCGGTTGTTGAATCACAGACTGTTTTCAGTTTGCCCAATCTTGAGATTGGTCAGCCAAACTAGGGAATCCGCAGTTTGGGTAGCGCAATCGCTGTTGTATAATAAAGTTTGGTTACGACAGAGACACAACAGTCAATGGTTAAGTATGCACAGTGACAATCCTAGGCGCACCCTACACTTTCCGTAGTACTACAGCTACTAAGCTAGGAATGGGTGTCCCTATGCTGCTAGTACTAGTAGTGATACGACAAGGCTCTGCCCAACAAAGCTCCACTGTGTCACTGACACTATATCCACTATCCAGTGCAGTGGACACCGACAAACTTGTACGACTACGAGAACATAACATTCAGAACCGTCTACGACTACGTCTCGACCACAGGCACTTGGAACGTCTCAATAAAAAAAAGGTAAATAAACACGAAATCTATTTACTACTAAAGTCTTAATGTTTCTCTACTCTATTTCGCCTATAATCACCTGTAAATGCCGGTCAAATGCTCATCTGCAACACACAAGTACACCGCACGCTAGCTGCTGCAAACTGACACATAAATATATACCTATAACCTATATATTTATGTGTCAGTGTGCAGCAGCTAGAGTGCGGCGGCCAGCGTGTGACAGTGTGTCGCAGATGAGCATTTGGACGGCATTTACAGGAAATTGTCGGCAATAATAGGTGAAAGAGAGTAGAGAAACATTAAGACTTTGGTAGTCAATAAATTTCGTATTTATTTAGCATTAGATTTTATTGAAACGCTCCAAGTGCCTGTGGTCTCGACGTAGTACTAGAAGCCTGACAGTGACACCCCTAGTTCCATACGAAAAACCGTGTAGCTTAAAAAAAACAGTGAAATGGAGTTGTTTTTGAAGTTTATACAAATGGCAAAATCCATACTTGCATTACTGCGCATGCGCGAGAACTAATACCACAAGGCTGGCGAGAGTGTATGCAAATCATGCATAATTCAAACAGTAATGGTGACCTTGTTCGAATTTCTCCCTTATCAAAACTCAAAAATGCTCGCTGACACGTAAATTCATACTTGGCAATAGTGCACATATGGTTAATAACATCGTGGAAGTACAAAGATGTAGTAAAAGCCATCAGCAGTTGGCTAGTGGTACATTTTGTTACAGCGCTTTGTTAGCTACCGGTACAAGGTTTGGTCGCTACGTTCGCTTGTGACCTTCTCGCCTCGTAGTGAGAAGTGATAACGTAACTTGTGGCTACTAGTCTGGGTACATAATACCCGCACGCTCACAACTGTGTCAAAACTACCCGCAATTTACTTTCTCGCTTCTGGCTAAGTGGCAGTTATGGTGTTACAAATCAGAATCAAAAGTCTAAATATACATCAAAGGTAAGTATGTATGTCATGATCAAGGGAACTGCATTGATAAACAAAATACTAGTAAGTTAATCACCAAATGCAACTGTAATACATTGGTTGCATCTTCCTTAAACTGGCAAAAATGATAAAAGTTATAGCAGTTTATTTTCTGAATATTTATGAAATAACATTGAGAATATTAAAGGAAAAAATGAAGATTTTCATTTAAAAAACTTATGGATTACTCCATATCCTATATAAATAAATGATTCTGTCAAAAGTAAACTTTCAAACTAAGTCGTAGGATTTTGCTTTATCATTGCAGGACCTGGAAGCTAGTCTACAAGGATCATACTGCAGTATGAACGCAGAAATTGAAATTCCGTACCCTCTAGAAAAGTTTACAGAGGCCGAACACCTTTTCAACTGTGGCAGACGAAATGAAGCATTTACTGAGTACAGTGCATTCATTGTGACATGTGAACAAGCAAAGCGCAATGCGCAAATTCACCCGAAGCTATCTTCTGTACAAGCAGAACTTGGCGATTGTCAATTGCTCAAGTACTTGGCACTGGCTTATAACAATAGAGGCTACATCAGCTATCGACTCGTGAACTTTGATGATGCAATAGCAGACTACAGTCTTGCGATCGATTGTGATCGGAATCTTGTGGTGGCGTGGTACAACAGAGGTCTAGTGCACTACCGGCTAGGAAGGTTTGACGAAGCGTATTCCGATCACCAGCGAGCGTTAAAACTAGACGAGAAATTCGAACCGGCGAAAGACTTCCTGTGGCGGATCGAAGCCGACCGAACGCTACAGTTCGCAGGAGCGCGGAAAGCCGACAGGAGCGGCGAAGCGTGAAATCGCGATGGCGACCCGCGAGCAGGCCTTCCTCGAGACGTTCTTCGTCGCGATCAGTCAGTTTGCGTTTGACAAGGCGAAGGATCTCGTCGAGAAGGAGAAGGAGGCGTACCGCACCTACGTCGGCTCGACGTGGTTCCAGTTCCTCATCACGCTCGTGCCGTTTGCGCAGGCCGAGAAGTCGTACGCGTGCCTCCTGTTCCTGCTGCGCCGCGGCCTGTTCGGCACGGGTCTCGGCACGCGCGACAGCGGCGTGCGCGCCGCCTACGACTCGATCAAGACGGAGCTGCGCAAGATCGAGGACGCCGGGCGGCAGCTGGCAGGCGGCGGCACGAGCGTGTCACTCGAGAAGCTCGTCTCACACCTGTGCGGCCAGCTCGGCCACCTGGTGGACGCGCGCGGCGACGCGATGGACTTCTACGAGCGGCTGCACGCCGTCGGCTCGCAGCGGCAGCTGAACATCGACGAGATGCTTGAGCAGCTCACCGCGCTCACCGCCGCCCACCAGAAGAGCTTCCACCACCCGCTGCTCGGACCCGTCAGGTCGAGCTTCCACCTCGAGATGGAGGTGCTGCGTAACCTGCTGCAGGCGCAGCTGCACATGTCGCGCTGGCGCTTCCTGCCGTCGCTGCTGTGTCTCAACGACGCGCACGCGAAACTGGCCGCGTGGGGCCCCACGCTGCAGCACAAGGAGGTGTCGACGTTCAGCTTCATGGGCCTGTCGCCGCGGCACACTGCCGCGCCCGTCCTCTACGACTGGCTGCGCTCGTACCGCGCCACGCTCGTCTCCAAGTTCACGCTCTACTTCCACGAGGTGCTCGGCAAGCAGACGGCGTCGTCCGAGATGAAGCTGCTGACGGCGCGCACGTCCGTCGACTACCACGCGAAGATCGTCTCGTTCCAGCGCAAGTCGGACGCGTACAGCGTGTCGCTCGTCTTCGACACGCACGGCGCGCAGCCGGCGACGTTCGACGGTCACGGCTACCACCACCCGGCACGCGTCGCGCAGCGCCCGCTTGGACTCGACAGCTTCCCGGCGATCTTCTTCTACCCGCCGAGCGAGAAGCCGACGGCGCACTGGGCGAGCGTCGTGCGCATCATGACCGACCACAAGGCGAGCGAGCTGAGCGGCATGGACCGCGTCGTGTCGTTCTACGACCGGCACGTGCAGACGACCTACTTCATGATGGCCGCCGAGGCGCACATGACGCTCGTCGTCATCTTCGACTGCAAGAAGTCGGAGCGCGACTCGTACGTGACCAACTTCATCGTCGACATGTGCGGCAGCCTGCGCGGCACCAAGCTCTTCGCCAGCCTGAAGCCCGGCGTCAAGTAACGCGGGGTGGCGGTCCGGGCCAGGGTTGAAGGCGGGGTTCGGGAAGAGGCTTGAGTGGAGGTGGGGTGGTAGCGAGGGTGGGGGGTGGAGATGGGGGGCCGGGGAACTCGGCTAGGATGTGTGGCAGCAAGCTGTTCATGAGCAAGAAGCCTTGTGTTGGAGAGATACAAAGGCTGCGGGGAAAGTATGCCTGGCAGTGGCAGCCGGCCGGATACAGACGATAAATCTTCTGGTGAACATGTGATGCTCTCTGCAAAAATTTCTGTGAAAATGTGATGCTACCCACAGAATTTTTGCCGTGTGAAAATGCACTGCTTTCCATGAAAATTTGGCTGTGAAAATAAAATCCTTCACGCTGTATGTTTCCTGTGAAAATAAGATGTTTGCTGCAGAAATTTTGCTGTGAAACTAAAATGCTTCACGCTGTATTTCTCATGTGAAAATAAGATGTTTGCTGCAGAAATTTTGCTGTGAAACTAAAATGCTTCACACTGTATTTTACCTGTGAAAATGAAATACTTGCTGCAGAAATTTTACTTTGAAAATATGATGCTTTCCACGAAAATTTTGCTGTGAAAATTATGCACGCAATGAATGTTTTTACATGGTTTAACTGAATTGACCATTTCCTGGGTCTAGCAAAATTCAGCTAAGTATGAGATTGAATAAGTTGTTATTTTCTAAGAAACCAACTGTTAGTGTAAGCTGTTATAGAATCGGTGATAATGAAAGAAAATTTGAGAAAATTTGTAACAGTCCTGTTGTTAATTGATCTTAAAAAAACCATTTGCATAAAACAAAGGCTGTTGTTTGGTATTAATGAGGTTGGACTGTGTATGCTACTTTTTCTCATCCAGCTTGCAAATGGTTGCTGTTGGTGTAGATGCATAATAATAATCCGAATGAAAAATTTTTCTTCACAAATTCTTATTTTCTTCCGTAATGCATGTTTTCACGAATTTAAATTTTTAATACAACATAATAGTATTGTATGATTAACATGTTTGTCTGTTTTACCTAAATTCTAGTCTCTTGGCTCACAATTGCACACCAGATGATGAATAACATATATGGTATTTAGGCAGGTGATAAGCTATTTGGGAGATGATCCACTAATTTAGTCGTTAATCATTTGGTTGCATTTCTCTCATCTCAGCATGGTGTCGGACTTTTTCTTCCCCAACATGGGAGGAGTAGAAAGTCACATTTACCAGCTCTCTCAGTGTCTTCTTGCCAGAGGTCACAAGGTCATTGTAGTGACTCATGCGTATGGTGACAGGACGGGCGTGCGTTTCCTGACAAACGGGCTGAAGGTATATATAATAACTAGCAACACAATCTACACCTTCATAAATACACATTAATCTAGTATTTGTGTTATGATCCACTTACACTTTTTCCCATTTGTTCCATTTCGCTGTTATCCATGACTACACACTACTGCCTTTCCCAGGCATACTTTGGCATTGGTGTATCGTCCAGAAATATTATTGACATTTTTTTCCTGGAAATACTGGGTCCAACTACTGTCTTTCTAGAAATACTAGACTCGTCTGTCATTCTGAGAATTTCTATACTATAGATACTACAGTCTTCCAATTGCCTTTCATTTAAAATGAGTGTATTGAGATATTGAGTGGGTGCGATTCTTTCTATTTTATGCTAGGTTTATTATCTACCAATAAAGGTTTTCTACAATCAGTGTGTGCTGCCAACCCTCTTCACAAGTCTCCCTTTGATCAGAGAGATATGCATTCGTGAGCAAGTGACAGTCTTACATGGTCACTCGGTGAGCATGCTTCGATACCTTCTGTTGTAACGTACACTTTCTGACTGTGAGATGGCTATATGTGTCCGTATTTCAGTCAAACTAGCTCTTTATTGGCATGTCCATCTTAGAAAGATTGTTGATAGTACTAGACATGAGTTAAGTAGAGTTAAGAAGACTGCTATAAATGAACGTAGCTCGGTATGTAGGGCTGGATGGCGTGTTTTTGAGGCATTCAACTGTTATTCCTAAGTATGTTCTAACGAAGCTCTGAACTCCCAAATTAGTATGGCATTGGTATGACTAAACTCAATTTATAGCACATTCCTATATTAATACCTGCTGAAGTCGAGGTGAGCTGGCATGTGTTTTAGTGGTAATGTCTACGTTCTGTGAGTGAGAGCCACCTGTCACTGCTTTCAGGCATTCTCAACGCTGGCGCATGAGTCAATGTTCCATGCGCGTCTCATGAACGTCAAGGCTGTGTTCACCGACCACTCACTATTTGGCTTTGCTGATGCCTCCTCAATCATCACCAATCAGCTACTAAAGATTGCGTTGGCAGGCTGCAACCATGTGATATGTGTTTCGCACACAAGGTACGCATAATTATATATATATATGTGTGTATAAGTGTAGTAGGGGAGTGATAGGGATGCGAATATCAATTGATTTCTATGATAATAGCAAGTTTGTATCTTTCTAAAGATGATTTTTCGCTTGTGTTCCATGTTTATTTGTTCATCTAATGTAGTGTCCGTAATGTGCAAATGTTCACCAGTAAATTTTGTATGTGAAATTATCTGAGAACTGCAAGTATTTGCAGCACTGAGACTTAAATAAATTCTCAGTGTGAATATATGTCTGTTTTCAGCAAGGAGAACACAGTGCTGAGAGCATCGCTGAAACCAGAAATGGTGTCTGTGATACCAAATGCAGTAGACTGCACTGCATTTACGCCTGATCCCTCACAGCGAGACAAAAACAAGTGTAATTACCACAAAAATTGAGGCCATATATGGTATTGTCTGTGTTTGTGTGGGTTATCATTACCAAGGGTGTGTGTGTTTCACTTCTATCCTTGGCTTTTACGTATCGGGTTATCGGATAGAATGAAATTGGTTTTTGGTAGCCGTGGAATCCTGTGACTCCTGTACTGTCTCTCTGCATGTTGAGGTGTTTGCAGGTAGATATAGGTGTGTATCACTTAGGGTAAGGTGCATGTGATAAACCACACTACTAGAGGGCAGCACAATCAGGTGCGCGGTCTATCATGGTTATTGCAATAACAACTTTAAAACTAGTAATCGTTATGCTGTTTCTTGACATTCATAGAATCAGATAATTATGATTGTTTCTTCACGTGCAGACCGTTCTGAATATCTACTTATTCTGGCTGCAGTTTTCATGATTGTACGTGGATGAATGTTTTATTTGCAGTGACCCTAGTGGTGGTAAGCAGGCTAGTCTACAGGAAGGGCACAGATCTACTTGCAGCCATAATCCCAGTCGTATGCAGGAGACATCCTGATGTGCAGTTTCTAATCGGTGAGGCATGGGTTAAGTAAACAACATGAATTGTGGTTATATGCATTGGTATACATATTGTGAGGGTTTGATGAAGACTTGCAGAAATATGCAGTATCTTATTGCTGTTATCGTAGCTATACATTGTAGCTTATAGATATTGGGATGTAGATTCGTGGCAGTTACAGTGAATGTAAAGAAAGTTAGAGGTCATTGGCATTGCAGTTTTATTTCAAATGCATGGACAATGAAGAATTAACTATAATTTAGAAGGCAGTGTATTCAACTAAATCACATTTTCAGCTTGATTAGTAGTTTGTATGAAGGGGATAAGATTGTATGATATTTCCATCTATGACAGGAGGTGATGGGCCAAAGAGAATCGTCCTAGAGGAGGTTCGAGAAAGGCATGAACTTCATGACAGAGTCTGCCTGCTTGGGTCTCTTGAGCACAGTCAAGTACGAGAGGTTAGTGCGAAACGTTACTTTTTCAATGTTTTACAACGTAGGTACACATTTATTCACATATATCCACCAGGTGGCAGCACTTTCTATACTAGTAATGCTGTGCTTACTTGTATTTTAGAACACAATATTCTTGTCTAACCGCATCTGGGAACGTTTATAGCAATTGCCAATAGCAATATATTGAAACATTTCTGTTAAATTGTAATGGTTAGTGTGGAAGTACAAGAGAAAGGCTATTAATTTCCTGTAGGTGCTGGTAAAGGGCAGTATATTCGTGAACATGTCCTTGACAGAAGCCTTCTGCATGGCAATCGTCGAGGCAGCCAGCTGTGGGTACGTTTAGTTTTCGTATTGCTAGCAATTATTCAAAGTGGTATGTTTATGTAGAATAGGTTTAGATACAGCTAATATGCAGATGCAATATATTCTAGAATATCAGATCTAATGAAAACAGGCCAACAAGTATAAATACAACGCTGAATGTTAAAATGCTGTTGAGAACCAAGTTGTACCAGCTGTCACAGAAAAAAAAGAGGAGGAGAGGAGAAGACCAAATTTGGATTAAGATGGATGCCGAGTTAAAGTGAGAGTGAGGAAGTGGGAAATAGAAAATGAAAAGAGGGAGAGAAAAGAGAGAAAGAGAGATACGCACGCACGCACGCGCGCGCACACACAGAGGGAGAGAGGCAGAGATAGAGAGACATAGAGAGAGGGAGGGAGAGAGAGTGTGTGTGGTGAGAGGGGGAGGGAGGAAGGGAGGGAAAGGGTGAGATTGTTATATTACTGTTGTAAACATAGTCCAGTTTCCCTGTCCATGTTTCAATTGATAAAACATTAGTTCTGATGACAAGGCTTGAATATAGCTCATTTGTTAGTTGTTGCCTCTTCCCACTACGTGACTACAGCATTACTGGGTTACTTACGTTTAGCCTGCAGGTTGTGAGCACGCGCGTGGGAGGAGTGCCAGAGGTTCTGCCACCAGATCTGATTCGACTCGCACAGCCGAACGTCACATGTAAGTATGCGAGTAATTGTCATCATTTCAGTCAAGGACTGCTTGTCCAATACAGGGTGTCCAGTTTCAACTGCAAGAGAGAAGTCTGGTTGCATGGTGCAGTGAACACTGGGAGATCAACTCAGCCAGAATGGGTGGCATACCCTGATATCCCCAGGTTCCAACATGGGATGTCATCAGTTAACCCACCACAGAACTAGTTAAACTATGTAGTGCTATATGAAAGTAGATAATTGGAAGCGAGCTAACAAATTACAAATGGAAACCAGGAAAGAAGTATGGGAGCTTGTGCAATAGCATACCTAAATGAAATATATAGATGAAAAGATAAATATACAAATAATGTGCGTGCGTGTGTGCAAGGGTGCACGTCTGTGCACAGATGTGTGCTGAATTATGTATAATATAAAGGCTCCGTAAAGAATGGTTGCTTTGCAGCTCTTCTAGCTGAGATAGAATCAGCTATAGCCGACTGCCGGAGAGGCACCAACCTAGATCCCTATGTCGTCCATGAGCGCGTCAAGGCTCTGTACAGGTGGCAGGACGTGGCACAACGCACCGAGATTGTATATGACTCCATCGTAGTCAACCCTGAAGCTACAATGGAAGATAAACTACGGAAGTAGGTGTACGGGCGCTTCACTCGGCATTGGCTGTCAATTACAATGAAAGTCTGTTACAGCATCATGAATATGGCCAAAATGTGCCACCTGCCATTTCTGAATGGTGTTTGACAGTAACATGCACTCGGTACTTATTGGATTTCCCTGCTAACTTCTCTGGGTTGCAGATTTTAACCAAGTACCGTTATAGTGCTCATATATTTTTTTCCTGCATTTCTTAGTGGTATACTTAAATAAGAGCACGAACTTCTGTTTTAGGTTGCACAAGATAGGCCCTATAGTTGGCTGGATGGTCATATTACTTGCTGTGATCGATTTATTCATCCTGTACATTCTAGAGTGGTGCAGACCAAGAGAGGTAAGTGGTGCGACGATGTAGTTATATTACCCATCATTCATGAAGTGCATTTGATTACTGCGGTATAGTATGGCTCATAGGGTTTATGTCCTCCAGGGTACTATCGGAGGGTTCCCTGGGTACGGTTCGATATATCGGAACGTACCCTGGTAACTATCTGATATGGTTAGGGTTAGGGTTAGGGAGTAGGCGTAGGCGAGTCCCTAGACTCGTTAGTGGAGTAGGCGAGGTACGGTCCGGCATATTAGATAGTACCAGGGTACGTTCCGATATATCGAACCGTACCCAGGGTACCCTCCGATAGTACCCTGGGGGACACAGACCCTCTCAGCTATAGTATGATTCTGGTGCTCACAAGTGTTCAGCTGAAAAAAACCATTACATTCCATTAAGATTATGAATATAGAACCAAGACCCATTCTGTTGTAACAGTGCCAAGTGAGCAAATAGTAAAACACGAGTTGTGATGGGATTATATCAATTGTTTACATAAATGAGTCGATCCTTATATAAGCATTTTATGATTTCAGCATTAATAAGTATTCACTTCTATCACTGTGTCCTACTAAGTGATTCCCTGTTGACAAC